TAGCTCTCTCCTGCCCTTCCTGCTTTCTGCTTCCTGCAGAGACTCAGCAAAGGGAGGAGCTCTGTCCAGTAAGCTTTTCAGCTCCTCGGAGAACACTGTGAGTGCACTCTCTTTTACACATACACACACACACACACACACACAAAAAACACCACACACACACACACACACACACACAGAGAGAGAGAGAAAGAGAAAGAGAAAGAGAGAGAGAGAGAGAGAGAGAGAGAGAGAGAAGCAGGGAAGCGCAATTGCCTCTCTCTGTCTCTGTCTCTCTCTGCAAAGGCAGAGGAGGCTGGGAGCCACAGGGGAAGGCTCAAAGAGCCGCATGCGGCTCCGGAGCCGCAGGTTGCCGACCTGTGACCTAGGGCAACTTGGAAGATAAGCTTCTGAATATCAAGAAAAAAAGCTAATGTCTTGAGTGGTTTCCAGGGTAGAATGCAAAGTAGGAATGAAATAAATGAAGCTCCTTTCCCATGAATTATAATCCTCTCAAGGACATTTTGAGTACTAGAGATTCAAGGCCTCCAAAATGTATTCATACAGTACATCATAAAATGAATAATTAAAAGGACTTTTAATGCCAAAACAATGGAATTACAATCATGCAAATTCAGTGGCACACAATTATAATTCATCCATAAGAGCGCTCTGGTACTCTCTACACACTGTATTGCAACTTCTATCCCCAGGGCGTGAAGAAATGAATTACAATGGCTAATCTCAATTAACTGTAAATCTTTAAACTATTTTGCATTGAATTAAACTGACCAAAGTATTTATCCTAATACAGGTGACAAAGTGCCCATAGGATGATGTCCAATAACTGGATTGTGAATGCTCACTATCTAAAGGTAATTTTTACACATTTCCTCTTCCTTTGATCTTATTTTATTATTCCTTGTTTTATTATTCCTTCATCTTTTCCAACAATAGAAGTACATGTAAAATACTCTTCCCTGGACAGTGAACCAGAAAAACTAATAGGGTTATAAATTTGTTAAGACTTTACAATGGAACTTTTTATTATTTTAAATATAATCCCATGAAGAATGCAAGGAGCTACAATTCAAAACATTTAGAAGGCACAATATTCTCTACTGCTACAGAATATAAAAATCTCCTTGTTTAAATTTTACCTCTGATATCATACAATACCTCTAAATTTGGTACTTGAAATAAACATACGCTTTTGTTTTAATAGTTGTATTATTGTTTAATTTTCCAAGTTTCAGGAGGTTTTCCACTGCAATCCTAAAGCTTACTTAAATGAATAACAAACTGATTTTTAATAACAAATAGATTTTCAAAAAGGGGGGGGGGGTTGATGTAATGGAATTTTTTTAAAAAAGACTATCTAAGCCTATCAACCAGCTGTGAAAACTCTTATTGAGCTGGATTAGAAGTGTCACAAAGGAGAGTTAGAACAAAAACAGAAACAGCAATACTGTATAGCAGTAGAGCAGAGGTCCCCAACCTTTTGGGCACCAGGGACCAGTTCCATGGAGAGATTTTTCCACGGACCGGAGGGGACCTGGTTTTGTGTGCTGCCTTATCCTGCAGATGGGGCTTTGCCTGTCTGTGCAGCCAGTTGCTTGCATGCCGCGTCCCAGTACTGGTCCATGGACTGGGGGTTGGGGACCTCTGCAGTAGAGGACACAGATGGTTGTTTTGTCCTACACAAACATAGTAATAATCTAGAATTCAAAATACAAGAAAACTCTTATTACTCACTGGCATTTTTATTAAATGCAAAGCTGATAAGTATTGTTGCAAACTCTCACAAATCTATTCATCTGCCAAAGATGAAAACATACAATGTAATCTCTTGCAGCATTCCACTTTATCTCAGTAGACTCTTAAGGGGCAACTGCTAAAAAAACCCACCTCCCTACTACATAAATCCTATGCACAGGGGGGGGGAAAAACAATCAAGTGTGCATTCTTATTGCATGTAATGTATTTCCTTTTGGTCACCTTTCATACCACCTGATGGCCAAAATAGAACATTTGGGGGGTAGGGAAATCAGATAGTTGGAAATAAGAGTCAAAATCATTTAACCTGAAGAAAGGAAGAGGATTCAACTGCAAGAAAGATTTAATGTGTGCTACATACATATTCAGTTACAAGGCCTGCTCGTAAACACTTCGCCTTCATTACTTAAACTGATTCCCCAAATCCAGGTCTATATTATGTTCTTAAGGATTACTAGCAGTCTTTCTTTACAAATCAGAAATTATAGATAGCTATGACCAAGAAAATGAAGGCCAATTTGGTGTAGTGTTTAAGGCACTAGCAAATTCCAGTTTGCCTTAAGCAAAAAGTCAACTGGGTGATATTCTAATTTTTTTAAATTCAAGGATAGGCATGTCCAACCCACTACTCACAGGCCACATGTGGCCCTGGACAGTTAGTAATGTGGTCCCATAAGATACAAAAAATACTAAAAAAGTAATGTTTATTATTTATATAATTAACTATGTCATATATAGTAGTTTATTTGTGGCCCAAGACAATTCCTCTTCACTCAGTGCTGCCCATGTAAGCCAAAAGGTTGGACATGCTCTAGGATAGTGGTGGCGAACCTATGGCACGCGTGCCAGAGGCGGCACTCAGAGCCCTCTCTGTGGGCACGCGCGCCGTGCCCTGGAGATGGCAACCCTCTTCAACCAGCTGCCCGCTAATTTACCGAGATCCCACATGGCCGGATGCATCCCAACACCCGGGCGCTCGCTGGCCTCTGTGTGCAGGGGCTGATGGTGTCAGGCAACAGCTGCCCCGGCCCGCCTCACCTTGCCCTGTGACAATGGAACCCCCACCCTGCCTCGCCTTGCCTCGCTTCACCCCACAGGACGAGCCTCCTGCCCACCACCCCACCTGCCAGAGACCCCCTGGATTTCCAACCCTGCCTGGCCCCTACTGGCGTCCCTCCCCACGAGCAACATTGAGGTGATCATGTCCACCTTGGTCACACCCACCCAATCTGCCATGACCACCACAGCCATGCCCACCAAGGGGACCACACCCACCTGGCATCCAGCGATAAATAAGTGGGTTTTGGGTTGCGGTTTGGGCACTCGGTCTCTAAAAGGTTCGCCATCACTGCTCTAGGATGTAGGCAATGACAAACCATTTCAGAAATCTTGCCAAGAAAAGAGCAGGGACTTGTCCAGAGAGAGAGAGACCAAGAGATGGTCAGCATCATATTTAAAGTACTGTCACTCGAAAAGTCAGTGGCAGCATATAAAAACTAAATAATAAAAATCTAAGTTAAATTACTACTGTAGTTTAAAATGACCAATACTCAAGAGGGTGTAAAAGAGTGCTGTAAAATGTGTTTTCAATGCCTGAGGCAAGTTTTAAGGCAGTTGGATTAAAAACTCCTTGGTAGCTTTGAGGATTCTAGTTTTGCATAGAGGCAAAACTGCACCCACATTCTGCACCATAATTTCCTCTGTTTATTCTGATCCTTGGGGGCTGGGAGGGAAGGAAGTCAAGAACTTATGGTTCCTGATTTTTTTTTTTAAAAAAATATTATTTTACAGTGAAAAGAAAACAATAACAGTGAAGACTGCCTCCAAGTTATCATTACACAAGGTCCTACATACTTGACGCAACAAGATGTGGGAATACTGTACTAAGAACATAAACACTAGACTTTCAATAATGCAGGAAAGGCCACGCCTGCCGTGTTGGACCCAAGAAAGTTTTCCACCAGAAGGGGAGCAAAGTGTCTCTTCACCAACGTTTCTTTCTAAAGGCCTACCTCGCTCCCCCCCCCGTCCCCCAGCTTGGCTTCTTCCAAGCCGGGCCTATTTTCCAGCCCAAGCCTATCGCCGAGACGCAGGGACGTTCCCCGAATCCCATTGGCAGGCATTACATCACAGCAGGGCACGACGTCCTCGTCGGCTGCTAATTACCTTTGCCTTCTTTCGTGCTTCCCTGGCTCCCCAGTAAGAAACTTGGAGCTGAGCTAAACAGTCAGTCAGCGAGCTGCTGGCCGCTTGAGATTCTCTCAAGTTAATCGATCTTCCGGGACTGGGCAACCAGCAACTAAAGAAGTATTTTGGGTACCCCCCTCGTCATCTCCAAAGGCCTGAACGTGCAGCAAGGGCCGGTTTGCACGACCCAACCCGGAGTAGACTGGCACCTCAACCCCGAGTTGAGGAAATCAGGGTTAAATTAACCAAGAATAAATCATGAAAACAGAGAGAATGTCACGATACTACTGTATCAGGGTCTGGCACGGCCAAAGCTAGGCAGGCATTCAGAGGGTGCTCCAGTTTCCCACCCCCGAAGGAGCAAGTGCAAGAGCTAAGCAGCACTGTGCATTCTTGTAACCAAGACAAAGCGCCGAACCGAGGAGATAATTATTAAAAGCACGGCCGAATGTATTTCGATCTGACAAAATAAATAAATAAAGCATTTCTTGGCTAGCAGCGAAGTCTAAAGGTGCAAATAAATGGCGGCAGATTCTTCTTTCCACTGGTCTTCTCCAAGGAGGTGCCCTCTGAATGTGTAGGACTACAAGGCCCCTCATTCCCCCATCGGACACGTCCCGCTGGTCGAGGGTTTCCCATCGAAGTGACAGGCTGAAGGTAAATTTGGAGAGAGGGCGCCGTGAAGGCGAACACACACGTATCCCCTCGTTTCAAATCCCGCCGCGTTTCCCTCCAACCCGGGTCGCCAAACCCTCCAGGATGGGTGTGGGAAGGGGGGGGGAATGGAGCATCTCCGGGTAAAATAGAGAAGCAAAGAAGAATCCTCTGTGCCCAAATTTTGCAGCGGCGACGACGGCACCGCTGGGCACCTGTCTCCAAATTACCCCGGCCTCCCAGGACTCGGCCCTCCAGTACTCTTCCCAAGAGGGCGGGGATGGCTGGGAGATGATCCTGGACACCAGCCATTTAGCCTCTTTCCCAGCCGCTGGGCCTTCTCCAGAGAGCTAGGACTTTCCCCCTCCCCGCCCCCCCCCGGAAAAAATCCAGTCAGGACTTACAAAAGCTCCGCCGCTGCTTGAAAGGCCGCTCCGAAGGCATCGCGGCCGAGAACCGGGCACTACCGAGACCACCGCGCCTTAGCACGGACGAGAAGGTCGTCGTTAGACTAAAAAAAAAACCGCTTCGGGAGGGCAGGGGATGTCTCCGGAGCCCCCGAAAGCAACTGCAGCTACGCCGCGACGCGCGCCTCCTCTTCCTCGATCGGCCGCCGCCGCCGCCTGCTCCCGATTAGATAGCTGAGCCACACAGATCCCCGAAGGTGGCAGCGCAGCGGTGACTTCATCCCACAACCTCCTTAAAGGGGAGGCGCGCGATCCCGCCCCTTCTGCAGTGCGGCCTCGTTGCCAGGGGCGCACCGGCCTCAGCCCCAGGCTGCCTTCGGCGATCTTGCTGCCGCCCTCGGGCAGCAGACTCGCTTCCCCAGGAGAAAGAATTAAGCCGAATCCCGAAGGGTGTTATAGAATATGCATGAAGGGCAGATGTCCGCAGATAATGGGCAACACACACAGACACACACACGCACGCACACACACACACACACACACACACCCCTATTAAAAAACATTGCCAGGAGTTCATCTAGAAATAATCCCTGAAACGACATTGTTTATTCGTTTAATTAATAGCAATTTATTATAATTAATACTTCTCTTTGAACCAGTCCTGAACAGTTTCATGCTGGATGTTACTCAACTGCAGCACAACTGGAAAAACTGGAAGAAGTGTCATCTTAAAAATCAACACATTTATATACATATAAATTAACATAAGTATAAGCTTTGGTGGATCACATGCATTTGATATATAAGGCTGTCTTTGTTATGATTAACTGAAAATGCTGCAGATTTGCTGAATTAAATCCAAGATGACCTTCCAAGTCAGACTTGGAGGAATCCAAATGCTCTCACATTTTGTTTCTACATTGATGCTTGATGCTTAGCCATATATCTCCCCTACCCCAACACCCAGGAAATGACATTGAACATGGGGAGAATATTCTGATCACAGAATGTCTATGGAGATTCCCAGTCTGAACCAAAGAAACTTCTTGGATGAGAAGCGAAAAGTTGTCAAGGAAAAAGCCCAAGAAAGTACAGTTGCCTTTTGGAAAAACAACTTTGGGGTCTCAACATAGAATGACTTTTGAGGAACAGTTATTTATATTTGTGATTAGAAGACAAAGTGGAACTTTAGTTCAGGCTTCTGGATGAGAAGAATTTGGAGAAGCTTCTCACATGCACTTAGTATATTTATAGCTTCTAGCTACTGAGAAGGCTACTCCCCACTTTATTCTAAGAACCTGAGGTAGGTTAAGCTAAGTAGCTATGCCAAGAACACTTAATAGCTTAGAAATTAAACATTAATCTTTGCTGAGTTCCTATAAACAACATCTACCAGTGTATGAGCTTGGAATGTGTAGGTCTTTCAACTGCCTTATATAATTAGTTTTTCACTTGTTTATAAAAGCTGTAATCTTTTCTGCCTTTTCAACTGGTCAGTCCAACAGCTCATTGGTGCTGCATATCAGTTAAGTTGAATTTCCAACCCTTTAGTAAAGTTGAAGTTGTAGGCATGTGATTTTCCCTTAGTGACCAACTTGCCAGTCCCAATTATGGTCACTAACCAAGGACTATTGTAGTAACTTGAAATGTGGCAATTATGACTTTGTCTGATGGATTAGATCAGGGGTGTCAAACTTGCAACATCACGTGACATGTCACGACGTATTGCGACTTTTTTCCCATTGCAGGCAATGGGGTGGGTGCGGTTTCACCATGACACATCTGGCCTGTGGGCCAGCAGTTTGACACCCCTGGATTAGATGGACATTTTAAAACGATTCAATCAAACCAGTGCCATTTACCATTTTGGCTTCAGTTTTTCAACAGCTGAATTATGTCTTCCAGGAAAAGAATTAGCCTTGTTGAAAAAGACAGTCATTGACTTAGCAAAGTTTTCAGCTGCAAAAGTCATCAAGGTTGTTTTTCCAAGGAAGCTTGGAAAGCTAAGCAAGCTGGAACTGGTGAATATTTGAATGGGAATTCTCTAGGAAACACCCAGACTGTACTACACTGGACATTTTCAAAAACATTTTAAATGCTGTCAGAGACAAATCTTTTAAGAACTTTTCTCAAGAAAACTATGTTCATGAGGTCACAAGGAGTTAAGTTTGACTTCAAGGAGATTTGACTTTTTCCGCTGTTTTTCCTGTACTGCTGGTAATTGTTGGCAAAATTATAGAAGGGGTTTGCTACTTTGTCTGAAATTAGAAAGCTGGCAACCCTCTTGTTTGGGGAGGGAGCCACCTAGTGATTGTATAGCATTATCACTGGTTGAAAGATAAACCTGGAAAGATATAGTAGGCACTTTGCTTTTAGGGCAGGTGTATGTACAGTATCTTGTACAGAAAGGATTTACTTCACAATAGGTTGATTAAGTGACCAATTGTTTTCTATATTACTGACACCAGTAATAGAAGGATGTGATTGAAAGGATACACCAAATATTATAGACTGAGAATTATTGAAATGGCATGAATTTCAAGGAAAATACTTCGAAAAGCATGAAAAAACTTTATTGAACTCAACAAAGGTTTGCTTGATTATTTTAATTTGCTTTAAAAAAAACAAGTGCAAAATAAAATGAAGACAAAAAGGAAGAATGATTTACAGTTATTAAAAGTATTTTCAACAAAGTTATTTAGTTATAATTTGCTAAAGAAAACTTCCATCTTTCATTATCTTTTTTATTTCATGTTTCGTTTTCTCCACGGGATAACCCTTGAGTAACTTGAACAGACTCCTTAAATTTTTAATATTTTAAGAAAGGAACCTCTTTCAGACATTATCATGGACAATAATTATCAATGTTAAATAAAAATATATAAAAAAGTAGAAGGAATGCAGGCCAGTTGTGGAAGTTTTCATTCTGTTGGACTCTGAATGACAATCAGGAAATAGTCCTTATCTGCAAAAATATAAAGCAATTATATTTCAATATTTGGTTGTTACTGTTAACTCATAGTAACTCTTTTGTGTCATGTTACACTATTTCAACTGCTTTGTAGACAGAGATTATGTGCCTTCCAGGCATTATCAGTTACAAAGAAATGTGGTTAGTGGCACATGCTGAAAAGGACTTCTTCATGAGGTTTTGCAAATATAATATACATAGTCCTTGACTTACGACTGTAATGGAGCCCGCCTATCATGGTAATAAGTGCTGTTTATGACAGTTGAGTTTATAATCTGTTTTGTACGGGTCATTGAGCAATTATGGCAGTGATAAAGTGAATGCCAAGGTCATTAAGAGAAGAATGGTTCACAATGGGCATAGATTTGCTAAAAAATGGAAGTGCTGATTTTCAGCAAAACTTTCATAAAATTCAGTCATTTGACTGAAGAATGCTGCAAACAGCCATGAATGTGGCCGGATTGCCAAATGCCCGAAGGTCAGTCCTGTGACCATAGGGGGAGGCAACAACTGGAACTTTGAATCCAAGGTAAATCTGTCATAACTTTGAATGGTCACTGAGTAACTGGTTGTAAGTTGGGAACTACCTATACTAGCTGGAAAAAACAATACTAGACAAAGATTATAAATAAATACACATTCCTCATGCTATTTCCTTTTTGGAAGCACAGTTATACGAAATACAGAAAGAGAATACGATATAGTAACCCAAAGAAATAAAGGCACAAGAAAAGGCTGAACATAAAGAAACAAGTTAAGTCAATAAACTACATAGAAAATTCACTCAATTACAAACATTAGAGTTGTTAAAACAGATCAGGCCAAAAGCCATCTACTGCATCATTGTTTCTTAAAATGAAGCATAGTTAGGCTGATACATTTAGAACAGTAGTCTCCAATCTTTTGAGCTTTGAGGATTGGTGGAGGGGGAAGGGGATGGTTCTGTGTGAGCGCACAGCTCCATGTGCCTGTTGCTCGTGCAAATGGAGATGTATGTGTGTGCACTCGCCTGCTGCACTACAAATGGAGTTGCATGTATAAGCGCACTGGCCCACTACTTCCATGGACCGGTTCTGAACAGACTGTTGACCAGGGTTTGGGGACCCCTGATTTAAAACCCATTCTTATCTGAATCTTATAAGAAAAACTGGTACAGAGATAGATTGCCTATTGCTGTTACATTTGGAGACAACTCTACCAGAGGCTCAAAAAGAGCTTTTTCCCCTTTTTAATTTTACCTGGTGCAACCATGATCTCATTTTTCTTGGAGCGAATCCGCAGGAATGTAAGATCATTCTGGGGATCAATGTCTCTGACAGTGCCCCTTGCCTTCATTATTAAGTTATGCATTAAGCCTGCGTACTGTACTGTGGAGGAGTTGTCCATGGTGCTTTTGATGGGGATACCTGCAGAATGCAAAAGGATTCTCGGGATAAATTATTTAAGACATTACTTGATCAGAAAATCCTAAGATCTCCATTTTTTACGGAACAGTTTTGATATAAAATCCTGTTTTTTTCATATGACCGCTTTATCTCAACAATTTGGAATTCGCACAGAATTCCCGTTCACTGTTTTTCTTATACATTCCTCTGCTACTACTCTGAGATTCTTTATGACCTCTCAAAGTATCATAAGCCTGATGATGGGGTGATTTTCATTGAATGAGCGTTCCTGGGAAAAGGAACAACTGGTGTTGCATTTCCTCCATTTCCACACTATCAGTCTTACTGTGGCAACAGTTTGATAGTCCCTTCCAGCCTAATGAACAGCAACAACCTTATATCTGAGATTTAGAAAGATTGCTTTTAATTGAGACATGATTCACTTCCATTATCCTGTGTCATAAAGAGTAGAACCAAACACTCAGATGTGTTTTTTTTTAATTTGGTTCATTAGATCTGCAGGCTGCCCAACTCCCAGATGACTCTATGCAACTTAACATCCAAGGATGTAAGATATGACACAGTGCACTGTTTTTAGTACTGATAATTTAACAAGAACCTCTTTATATGTTAGTAAGATTTAGATCAATCTTACACAACCAATGGGATGGTTTTTACTTTGGTTGCTGATTTATGTTCTTAATTGCCATTCAGCACCCAGAAAACTGAGGTTGAGATCAGTGGCCAAAAAAATTGAGATAAACAGATAAACATACATGCCTGTTCTACAAATATGATAGCAGTCAATAGTCCTTTTGCACACATTGGCTAACATGGCTCAGTATTGATTGAGTGATTGTATGGAGATGTTTTCTCTTTCAGCCTCAACTAAATCTATCCCTAAAAAAAGTGAAAGGTAGAACAAAACGACAGTATGTTCTACAAGTTTTATTTGAAATAGTCAAAAATGGTATCTTAAATTTCTAAAATAAGCTTTTAATTTAAGAAGTTTTAAATCCCAATCTACTTTGCCTATTGCTGTTATAAAACAAGTGGCGTATAGCAAGTACATACTGTATGTAAA